TTAAGTTTTAATAATTAAACACAAGATTAAAAAAAATATAAATTATTTATAATTATAAAACAGCAATATAATTCACACAAAATAAACTTTCAAACGGAATTAATAAATAATCTATAACAAAAAACAAACCAGTTAAAGAAGTTATATGCCCGTGTGTTTTAAATTGGTAGTATTGGTGTGTTGGTTGCTATAAACGAAACAACCCCACCATTACCCAATAATCATCTCGCCATTGCCATCACAATCATCGTCATAGCTCTCTGTCTGTCCTTTTCTGTATTCAACAGCAACTTTCATCATTGTAGTCATCATTAAATACAAGACACATTTAAATTTTAATGCACTTGGTTGTGGCAATAATGAATTTCCTACAAACCCCAAAAGCAACAACTGCTGCTGCTGTCACTTGCTGGCTGGCTTACGGACTCTTTGGATTATTAATAACGCTGCCAGGTAAGTTTGTCCATAAACAGAGAAAAAACAAGAAACGAACAACAAACCAAAATACAAAATGTAATAAAATAAACCACAGTGGAATGATTTGTAAAAGAATTGTGTTTAAAAATAGTAGAATCTATTCCCCAGGTTGAAACTAATGAAAAAATATTTAACTTTTTTCTATAGTTTCGTATATGGGGAAGATATTGTAGGCTGTAGCAGGTATTTATATACATTCATTAATTAAACATACGAAACCCCAAGTTGACAATTGTTTATTGTTTCTTAAAGTACATGAGGAACTTTAATAAAGACTGGAAATTACTGATCCATTGACTAGTATATGAGGTAGTCTATATATATAACTATGGACTAGACCACGGACATGGGCTGTTCATGAACTAGTCTATGAAACAGACTATGACCTCCAGGAAACAGTATATGGTCTAGTCTATAGGTTAGTCTATAGACTTGTCTACGGCCTAGTCAATGGACTAATCTACACCCTAGTCATTTTATCATTTCATGGAACAGTCTATGAACTAGTGCATTAATTAGTTTATGGCCTAGTCTATGGATTAGTCTATGAACTAATCTACGGGCTACTCAATGTACTAGTCTAAGGACTAGCTTATGGACAGACAGTGGACTAGCCAATGGACTAGTTAATCGACTAATCTATCTACAAGTCTATTGGCTAGTCTATGGACTAGCTTATTGATAGACAGTGGACTAGACAGTGGGCTAGTCTAAGGACTAGTTAATCGACTAATCCATCTACAAGTCTATGGAACAGTTTATGAACTAGTCTTTTAGTAATGTATGTGGTAGTCAACGAACTAGTCTATGGACTAGTCCCTGAATTAATATAGGGATTTGTCTATGGACTAGTCTATAGAATAATCTATGGACTAGGCTATGGCGTCGTCAATGGAATTTCAATAGTCTTTCTATGGGTTAGTCAAGGGACTAGTTTATGGACTAGCCAATCGACTAGTCTATGGACTAGTCATAGTCTAGCCCATGGTCTATCAACTAGACTATGGGTTAACCTATGGACTATTCAGTGGAATTGTCTATGGATTTATTGGAGTTTATCAACTAGTCCTTGGAGTAATCCACGAGGTAGTCAGATTATATTAGTATGTGGACCAGTCCATGGATGTCGGCGACTAGTGTACGGACTTGTCTATGGACTAGTTTAAGGACTTGTATAGGGACTAGTATAATCTATGGGGTAGTCAACAGACTAGCCTATGGGCTAGTCCCTGCATTAGTCTAGGGACTATTGACTAGCCGATGGACTAGTCAATGGAATAGTCTATGGATTATTCTAGCGACTAGTCTATGGACTAGACTAAAAACTTGTCTATGGACTATTATAGGGACTTGGCTATGTTCTAGTCTAAGGGCTTGTCTAGCGACTTTTCTATGGACTAGGGATATCTATGATTGGACTAGTTCTTAGATTAGTCCAAATGAATCCATAAGTTACTTGTAAATTTAATAAGTTGATTTCAAACGATTAAAGTCAAGACACTCTTCAAAATTACAATTATTCAACCATCAATCCCACTGTATTAGTACAAACCAATAAAAAAAATATTTTTATTATTCCCTCCAAAAAAAAAAAAAAACAACAAAAAAATAATAAATAAATTCCCCAATGAAATTTCTTATTTCTTTTATACTTCATCTTGAAATGATTTCGAACTTATTGTTTCTTAAAGAAGATACTGATGGTGATTGCTTTATTGTAACTGTTTGTCTCTTTCTGTCCGTCCATATCTTAGTATTTTTTTCTCTTCCTCGTCATTGTTGTTGCTGGGCGGTTGTCTAGAGTTCATGTGACATTTGAAACTGTGAACCCAAAGATGTCAGAGTCACAGTTACAGTCACAGTAATTTGTCATAATTATTTCAACATAAACTTCTGTCTGGGGAGGCAACAATGAATACAACAACAACAAAAAGAAATACAACAAACAAAACTTTCATTCATACCTACATATAAATTGTAAGAACGTTCACGGAATTTGAATGATGAATGGAGTCATCACTTCCGTCGTTTTGCCATTAATATGTACATGTGTCTAGGTGTGTGTGTGTGTGTGAGAGTTTATCTGTTTCTGCGTTCGGAAAAAGGTTTATAAAATATTTATTTTATCTGTTTCTTATTTCTTAATTTGATAGTTTGTTGCTGTAACTGTCTTTGCCTGTGTCATTCCATTTAAAGATTTGTTTTTTTTTTCAATCTGGAGTGTTAATTAAGCGTAATGAACATATCTGTTAAAGTTTTTTTTCCAAACAAAGTCATTGAAAATGTAGGTTATAAGACAGTGCTAAATGTTAATGGACAAACTTCAGAAGAAATTGGAGTTTTATAGAATAACTGTTTCTGAAGGAATTTAAGAAAAATAAGATAATTTAAGAAGTCGTTAAAGAGATAAATGGGATACAAATTTTGTATGTTTAATAATATTTTACAATTTTAATCAAATGAATCATCTAACCATCTAAAAGTTTAGATATTCTTTTCTAACTTTCTAATTTGAATAAAAATTCAAACATACAAAAAATTTCAACTCTTTGGCTACATTTACCCTAATTACATTTTCGTTATTACATTACCGAGCTAGCGATGCATCATGATGGTGTCATTCTTGGTGGTGATGGTGGCATTAACAAGAAAATCAACAAATGTGATGTGTGCTATGATCTATGAGTAAAATCCCAAAATCACAACAATCAACCAACCAATCCAATTCATCAACAATTAGAAAATGTGATAACAAAACAATGACAATTACAAAATACAACCAATACAGCTAAGTATGTGTGTGTGTGTGCGTGAGAGTGATAGGGTGCAACATAACCAAACAAATGTGCAACATTTTAGTCATTTCGTCTACACACATGCATCAAATGCTTGAGGCTTTTGTGATAAGTCATGTTGGTTGTAAATTTAACTTACAATTAGAAAATTTGCAGATGTTGTTTAGAGCTAGATGTAAATTTTTGCTTGTCCTGTGATGATATTATGAAATATATTTTCTTGTACAGGATGACAGAATAGCAGAAGGAGGAAGAGGTAAAGTCAATGTATATTATAACAACACATAAATTTTAAGGGTTTCTGTTTTACTATTTTTCATCTTCTTCTTCTTGTTATTGTTGAGCTTTCCAACGTTTACAGGATAAACTATGTGGGCCACAAGAATAATATTGTAATATTTATTTCTCTACCATGACCCCAAAGTAGTTTTGGTATCTAAAACTAAACACAAAAGCAGCTGTTTAAATTTTTTAAATTACGAGGGTTGTTTAAATTTAATAACTAAAAGTTGTTTTTAAGTTATTTTTTTTGTATGTAAAAGTGTTTAACCCTCGTAGTATATTGTATTGCATTTGTTGGTTGCCTTTCATTATTCTAGACAGATTTTTTAGTAAACATTATGCTTTAAAGGCACGTTTAATATCTCTCACTCTATCTATTTGTCTCTATTTCCATATTTAAACTGGCAACAGCTGATGTTGACCGCTTTACCAATAGCAACAACAAAGAGCATAAGCAAAAAAAAAAAAAGAAAACTACAAATGGGTTTTTATGTTGTAAAATGTTGATGGATAGTCTACAAAATTTTAAATATTATGCAAAGTAAAATTGAAAAATTCCAAACAAATTTATTTACACAGACATAGAGAATACAGTTAAAGAAAGAAATTGGTTGGTTATTATAAAGGCAATGATATTTAGGAAATTTCTAAAAATTATATATATTTTGAGTACATAGTTCCTTAAATAAGCTAGCAATTGATGTATTAGGGAAAACCTATGATCATTTGAATTTTTCCAAAATTTAATTATACCCTACACTACTTTAGAGGGGAGGGTACATTGGGTTTGCGCTGATGTTTGTAACGCACAATACTATTAGTCCTATACCCACCTTAAAGTATACCAATCGGGGAGGGTATATTGGGTTTGTAATATTGATCCTATACTCATATTTAGGTATACCAATCGGCCTAGGTAGGTATGTTGATAGGAGGGTAGGTAGGTAAGTTGATAAAAGGATGTATATTACATCAAATCCGAAGAAATACTATCGGGCTTGTTGTGCGCTCCTTATCATGAAAAAGGTAACTGAATGAATTATTTTTTAGTGTTCATAAACTCAGTTTTCTGGACGTAATTCCTAAGAATCTTCCAATCCGAGTTAGTCCGGAATGTTATTTCAGGAATAACATCACTTCCAAGATATTTGGATCTAACTTCGACGAATGCCTGGCAGTGGCAAAGAAAGTGCTACAGAGTTTCACTGTCCTCTCCCCATGCTCTACACTCGTCTGAATCCGCACGTCCAATTTTGCATAGATGTGCACGTAATCCTGTGTGTCCACTCAGAATACGTACCATCATACTAACGTCAGACTTGCTCATTTTGAGGAGAATTTTCGTCTTGCTCTCATCAGGGTCACCCCATAGGAACTTCGTGGTTCTACCCACTGTTTCATTATTTCAAGAGGCCTTGTGGGATTCTCTCACCCATATTTTTAGTTCAGCTTTTGTTGCGTCGAATGGTTTCGCGTTAGTCAGGTTAACTGCCTCGAGCTCCCTACCTTTTAAAGTTATTACATTCACCCTTTCGTTACCGACTACTCCCGATTGGGCTGGTACCCATATGATGTGAACCTTACCTCTGGGAGAGTATTCAGTTAAAGCTTTCTTACAATCCAATACGGTCTTAGATTAAGTTCTATCACCTGATATCGCCCTAATTGCCTTCTGGCTATCGGTAAATATATTAAGCGCTGTGGGCGCCATATTTATTCTAATCCAATTTACGCATTCCGTTATTGCTCGTACTTCTGCCTGGAAGCTTGTGTTATGATTTGGTAAACGGTGGTATATTTCAGTTTCTGGGTCTTTAATATAGAACCCCAGCCCCACTTTGTCCCCCAATTTAGAGCCATCCGTGTAACAACGGATTCCTACTGGTATTTGCTCTAATG